GATGATGAGAGATAAGAGTAATACACTCTATTATGATGCATGTTAACTTAAGAAATCATGTTGTATTCATTATATTTTTCTACTATCTAACATCACCGCAACATTTAATATCACGGTGTGCTCTATAGCATGCTTCCTTCTAGTACTATTAAAAAACGATGAAAAGTATTAATTTATGATATTGATCTAGTTAAAGAAAGCACAGCGTGATAGATTCAAAACAATACTAAATCTATTTGAGTGATCATTGCCTTTGTAACTAGAAAAAGTCTTTTATGATACAAGATAAATATATAGGGGTTTGAATTCACTCAATAATCATAAGTAATTTAATTTGTCTTCACCCAAATCTTACATAAATTTCATTATTATTTCATTTTTATATAAAAAGTGTTCTAAAAGCTTTTCATCGATTGTTATAGATGTATACTTAAGTATGGCATATGATAATTATGAAATCATTTTGACTACAATAAATCATGATAGATATATTCGCCAAGGATCATTCTCTCAGATTTAAATACCGAAAATTATGCTTATAGTAATACTATTATAATGTTAGTATATCGAGAAAGATCATTGATAATAGAGTTGAAAAAAAGATGTACATTTTTTATGATGAAATTTTTAACTTACATGAATTATATTTTCTTAAGTTTTCATATGATTAAATATAAGGCATATCGAAATCATAGACCTCCATGGACAAACTGACGCAAATATTTTTGATAAAACTTCAAATAGAACTGAAGAAGTAAGAGAACATTTATTAGAATAACATAATATTCAAACTGATGATTTGGAACACTTGAAACGATCAGAAAATAGGTTTTTTGTCAAGGGAGTCTGTAATTATAATCCACATAGACAAGCCACTTAATTTTATAGGATTGATCTTTTTGACAATCACAGTCGAAGTTCATTCTTGTTTGATACTTCGAATCTGATCAGAGGGCTATAACTCGATTTTTACATGAGTCTACGGTGAATTTAAATTTCTGCATGACATTTCGTAATGAATCGTATAATAAAAATAATACTGTTGCAAGATTTTATCTTAACTGCCGAATACTTATACGTGAAGTTTATTTTTGCACATTCCAACTTCTAGCTGAATGTTAAATTGTGTCAAGAAATTTATTCTAATATGATAAATCTATACTTTGGGTTGATGTGAGTAACAAAAGAACAGATACACATATTTGTCAAGATTTAGATTTTGAAATATTTTCATTTTCATAAATAATATTTCATTTATTTTGATTACAATATAAAATAAATTCAAATACTAAAAAACAAAATTATATAGCCCTATGATTTATTTTACAATTCTAGAGTCTAAGCTACAACATCAGTTTTAAAATCATGAATATATTTTTCTAATGTAAAACAAATTTCATCTGTTGTAAATGGTGTCCATTTATCTGTTAAATTTGGATCTAATAATATTGAAAGAATATCTTGTGGATTCGTTTTTCTTGCTGGTAATTGTCGTTTAATCATATCAGTTATTAATTTTCTTCGTTCATTTAATGCTGGTACATCATGAAAATCATATGCTGGTAATTGTCGATAATGAAGAAGTGGATAAATAAATGTTTCATATGTTCGTATAAATAATTCTCGTTGTTGTTGAGCACTTGATGAAGATTTAAGAAAACGTCGTTGACGTGAACGATATACTCGACGTAAAGCATAAATAAGATCTGGTTGTTGTAATGTTTGAAAAAATGTACTAAGAAATATTGAATCAATAGGTGTTGTTGATAGACCAGTTGGATGATGACGTTTATGTAATTGATAAGCTAGTTCACTACGAAAAAAACCAATTGTTCGTAATATATTCATTGAAACAATAACTGGTTGAATTGGTAAAGAATCGAATAGTATATCAATATCTGAATCACGTATTTCAATGGAAAATTTAATACGTGCTCGTTTTAAACGATCAATTTTGCCTGATAAACCATCTGAACGAAGAATTTTATATTGAGGATCAAGAAGAATATTTGGTTCATCTGTATGTCCACCATGTAAAAGTTCATTGAAACCTTTTGTTTCAGTTATTAATGGTGGTTTATCATCTTCAATTGGAACCATTGACCAACCACAAGCAATTTCACATTTTTCTTGTGTTACTGTTGATTGACACCATTGTGATAATTCAAAAAGTAAACTTAAATGTTGACCTGAACTTGATCGATTGGCACGTATAAATAATTGAGGTTGTTCATCAACAAATGAATTTAAATCATTTGATGAAAAATGCCAATCTTCAGTTAAAACTTTATCATCAACTTTATTTCGTATATGTGCTCGGACTATATGAATATTAGAAATAATTTCAAAGCCATCATAAAGACAAACACGAACGCATCGATCAAGAACACGAATCTAGATTGAAAAAAAAAACTTTATATTATCCAAAATAATAATTTCCATTATACTAATTAATTTTTCGAGCGAAAAAAAACAGTACATACCGTATATAGTACATAGTCAATTACTATTGCAAAAAAATAAACTTGATAATAAGAAATATTTGAGTTTTAAAGTTTTCTCTTTCAGTGAATTTTTCTTTTTTAAATACAGAAAAAAAGTTTATTTACCTGATCACCTTTGACTTTAGGTATTTTAACACATTGTTTAAGAACAATAATTTTTTTATAAGTCACATCATTTATTTGTAGATGATCAGTATCAGCATGCCAATAAAGATCAGCAAAAGCAAGATTTGAATCAGTCATTTTTGGTACAAGTGCTCGCCATAATTGATATTCTTCAAGTTGAGTTAATGGTGCTAAATCTGATGCAACAAAACCAGCTGGAATATTATTATTAGCTTTAAATGCATCGACAAGTGTTGTCACTGATGTATTTGGTTTTGCTCGACGTCTTGGTAATTGTCCAGATAATAATTGTATATGATTGATTGGTACGACACCTTGTTGTTGTGTTTGTGCATTACGAAATAACCACCAATCATCTGGACGTTGTTCGACAAGTGTTATTATTTCACCTTTATGAATGGTTAAATCACCAGTTTGTACACTTGTTAAATCATGTGAAACAAGAAATTGTGTACCTGGTGGATGTTTAGTTGTTCGAAGTTCTTGTACATGTGCATTGACAATATTAGGTTCATCTTCTTGTTCATCATAATCATGATCAGATTCAACGTCTTCATGATCACCACTATTATGTAAACGTCGAAGTTCTTCATCATCATCACCAGTACCACATCCATCAATACGTAAAAAAACACC